CTGCTCAGTGTAAGAAGAAGGAGCATGCACTGAGGAGTCTGGCTGTAGCTGTGGCTGCAACTGGTCAGGGGGTGGACACAGTAATGCCAGTAGAAGACGGGAGGAGTAAGGCCAGTAGAAGACGGGAGACTAAGAATCTGGTGAAGTGCTGAGCCAGGTGGCGGCAGAGACGACGGCGACGGCGGAACAAAAAACAGTCGCCGCTGCACAGTGCCTCCAGCACCAGTACCGACAGTTCCAACACCCCCAGCGCCAGCACCTCTAGCTCCAGGGCCTCCAGCTCCAGCGCCTCCAGCTCCAACACCTCTAGCTCCAGCGCCTCCAGCTCCAGCACCTATAGCTCCAGTGCCTCCAGCCTTAGAGTCCGCAGCACCACCAGCTCCGGCAGCTCCAGTACCTCTAGCTCCTGTGCCTCCAGCCGTAGCGCCTCCAGTCTCAGCAGCGCCACTCCGAAGACGGCAGTGCTGAGTGTACCACTCGCGTAGCTGCTGCGGCAAGAGAGCACCTCCAGAACGAGCACCTTCAGGACTAGCAGTGTCAGTACCACCAGCACCACCAGTACCGACAGAACCACCAGCTCCGGCAGCTCCAGTACCTCCAGTACGAGCACCTCCAGAACAAGTATCTCCAGCCCCTCCGCGGCCTCTAGTACCAGCAGTAGCTCCAGCACCTTCTGCCTCAGAAGCTCCAGACTCCGCACCCACAAGCTCAGCATCCCCAGGCTTCGCACGCTAAGGCTCAGCACCCCCAGGCTCAGCACGCTCAGACGCAGCACTGCCAGGCTCCGCACTCGCAGGCTCAGCACCTCCAGGCTCCGCACGCTCAGGCTTCGCGACCGCAGGCTCAGCACCCCCAGACGCAGCACCCCGAGCAGCACCAGAGTCACCAGTGACCTCGACGGGCTCAACCAAGGGGAGTGGGTCTACCTGAGACACACCTGAAGGAGCAGGACCTTGAGGGGGGAGGGGGTCTACCGGAGGGGGACCTGGAGCGAGGAAGAGTGGCGGGGGGGGGAGAGGGGCAGTGCGGTAGGGGAAGAGACGGTAAAAGGGAACTGACTTGTCGAACGTGGCGTCCTGAGAGGACAGAACACGGCGCGAGGTGGGGTGGTAAAACTGCCAGCCAGGCGCGTCAGGGGGAAAGCCAAGGAAGACACAAGGAACGGCGCGCGAGGAGAGCTTGTCCGCGGTGGTATCGCGGACAAAGGCACGACGGCCCCAGACCCGGAACACCGACGCATCGCCAACCTCTCCCGTCCAACGCAGTGTAAGCGAGGTCTCCTTCAAGGAGACACGGGGCCAGAGGTTGAGCTGATGCGCAGCGTACCGGACCGCAAAGGGCCACAGAAAATGGGGAGCAGCCGCATGGATCATGGAAGTACGAGCGACCTCGATGACTAAGCTAATGCGGCGCTCAGCAACCCCATTCTGCTGCGGAGAGGCCGGAAGCGTGAACGACTGGAGGATGCCCTCCCCATGACAAAAGTCCCGCAAGAGGTTGGAGGCAAACTCACCACCTCTATCAGAGTGCAGACGCAGGATAGGAAGGTCCGTGTCGAACCGCTCGCGGAGCTGGAGACGGACAGTGCGGATCCAAGGGATCAAAACATCAGGGACCTTCCCCTTGCTGCGCAAGGGGAAGACCGTGGTGTAACGTGAGTAGTCGTCAACAACCAGCAGAAAGTTTCGCTCGCGGCCCTGTCGTTGGACGTAGGCTGGGCCCCACACGTCCATGTGGAGAGTCTGCAGGGGAGCAGTCGTCGCCCTTCGACACAGGGAAGCAGGGAGGGGCGGGCGAGGGTGGGAGGGGAGGCAGAGACCTGGGAAGACCAGAGACAAGGAGGCGGGAGTGCATGCCACGGAGGCGTGGTAGGGAGGGGTGACCTAGGCGGTGGTGCCAAAGGAGAGTCTGGTGCGACAGGAGGCGACACGAACAAGGGGCTGCTAGCTGACCTGGCACGAATGCAGACGCAGCTACCTGAGGAGGCTCAGTAGTGTTGGTGCAACCCTACGGTTTGCACTCGGCTTGTTGTCCGTGTGCGTGCATGCGTGTGTGCATGGAATGATAGGAGGGCATGGGATGATAATATTTCATACTTGTAATAGTGTATGAATGAGTCATGATGTCAAGTGTGTGTGTGTGTGTCGAGTCAATAGCGAGTTATCGCTAGTCGCGTGTCACGCGGTTTCTATTTTGTCGTGTGTCTCGTGCACGGTTTCTATTTTGTCATGTGTGGAACGTTCGGCGTGTCGCAGCTGTGTGCAGCAGACCCATCAAGAACTCAAGGATGAGTTTATGATGAAGAACCTGAGCCTTGGTTTCAAGATTCAAATGATCGCAAAGCTCGCGAAAAGGGTACACCTCAAGATATTGAGAATAGTTACATTACTTAGTGTAGTGTAACATTTGACTTGGTGTAGGCCCTTATGAAGGGTAGTTTCAAGAACCTTTCTGGTTGGGGACAGTGTGGCACTGTTCCACATCACTTTACCTCAGCTCTTGGGGTTTGTAGGAGCTGGGAGTCATTCCCAACTCGTAACTCTTACTATCTTGTGTTCTAAGACTATAATGGCTACCATAGTGCCGTTCGTTCAAACCAACGCTGTGTCGTCAATACTTGATGAAATCGTGCGATCTAAATTGCCTATTATAGGCGACGTTAAGACGCTCGAAATCCAATTTGAATCAGGTCATTTGAAGCTGTGACCAGAACGCTATAAACGTTTAAAGCCGCTGTGCAGAAATCCGACTATGCACTCTATCCTTCGTTTTAGGCACATTGAAGCCTACTGTGACTATAACAAGTAGTCAGTGTGTACAGGCTTGACCCAGGCTCACGGGTGAACGTGGCCAGGTGACGGCCCGTCCGTGCAAACGTGCAGATCGCCACACGCTGTCCTCCAGGGATAAAGGTATCAACCCAAGCAAACTGAAGGGCGGCGTTACTCACCAAGTTCGTAGAGAACGGAGGGAGGTGAAGACCGAGCCAGACGGAACCGCCGGACACGGGAGAACAGTGGAGGAACGTGCACGAACCAGTCCCCCAGAGGGGTCAGCCAGAGAGACTGCAACCGGTGTTGCAAGTGGTGTGACTGTGGTGCTGTCGCAAAAGAAGCAGCGGGAAGCACTTGAGTCAAGCGTGAAGGTGTGCAAGGCCTCAGAAGGCGCAGTACCAGAGAGAGCAGACTCACCAGCACCTAGAGCAGACTCACCAGCACCTAGAGCAGACTCACCAGCACCTAAAGCAGTAGCAGCTATACCAGGGTCAGGCGGCACACACAGGTAACAGTCACTCTGAGTACTAATAGTCAAAGCATACATGGCAGTGAGGACAGTGTCATAGTCTAGACCAAAGATATCAACCTTGTTCCGAAGCAGCTCTAGCCAGCGGGGAAGCTCAACCTCGTCGCCAAACATTGCACGCCAGGCGTCGCTCAGACAGGCGAAGCAGCGAGCCTGTGTGTGACCAAGAGTCCCGCAAGTCTAACCAGCCCGATCACTTGTGCGAATGACGTACGGGCAGCGGATAGTACTCCAAGTCCCCCCACTCTGAGCGTACCACCCACAAAGCTGCTAGAGCGTAAGGGTCTCGCGCGGACGTTGCTGCAGCAGCATCTGGCCACCGCCAGAAACTCCGCACTGAACAGCTCCACCGCGACTGCTACTACGGTCGCCGCCACCACACCTACTGGCGTACCACTCACGAAGCTGTTGGGGCGTAAGGGCCTCGCGCAGATGCCGCTGCAGCTGCATCTGGCCACCGCCAGAAACTCCCCACCGAACAGCTCCAAGCGACTACTACTACGGCCGCCACCACTCCCACTGCTGCCACCACCGCCGTCACCACTCCCACCGCTACTACGAAGTGAAGTCATAGCGGGCAAGCAAGGAGGCGCGCGACCAGTAGGTCAGTACGGAGGGAAGGCAGTAGCACGAGTAGCAGCAGCAGCAGTAAGAGCAGCAAAGCGGCTCGGTGAGACTAGGCTGCAGCACCGCCAGCACTCCTAGCAGCACCTCCACCAGCAGCAGCAGTAGCACGAGCAGCAGGGCGGATCAGGTTGGGCAGGGCCGCTCGGGCTGGGCGGCGTTGCTCAGCCTGGGCAGCGCGGGCAGCAGGGCGCGCGTTGTTTAGGGCAGCAGGGCGCGACGCGCGGGCTGCAGCAGGGCGCGACGCGCGGGGCAGCAGGGCGCGACGCGCGGGCTGCAGCGGGGCGCGACGTGCGGGGCAGCAGGGCGCGACGCGCGGGCTGCAGCAGAGCGCGACGCGCGGGGCAGCAGAGCGCAACGCACGGGCTGCCGTAGGCCTCGACGCGCAGGGCAGCAGGGCGCGACGCACGGGCTGCAACAGAGCGCGACACGCGGGGCAGCAGAGCGCGACGCGCGGGCTGCCGTAGGGCGCGACGCGCAGGGCAGCAGGACGCGGGGCAAGGAGTGCGCTGGGCAGCGCGACGCGGGGCAGGTCAGGGCGTGCGCGGGGCAGCGCGACGCGGGGCAGGGCAAGGCGTGCGCGGGGCAGCGCGACGCAAGGCAGGGCAGGGCAGGGCGCGCGCTGACGGCGCAGCGCAGGGCAGGGCGTGGGGTAATGCGGTAATCGCAGTCGGTTACTATGTAATGGTGGGCCCGAAAAAAAAAACGGTCCTACGGACCTACTGCTCTGAAACCATGTCAAAAACTAACGAGAAGGAATGAATGCATTGATCATAATGTGGTACAAGTTCCGTACTAACCCTAATTGGGTTGTACCCCATATAAACTACCCCACTACAGCCTACACAACATAAGCAGCATTATAGTTTGACAAAATAGAATGCAATAGAAATGTTTGCTATTTGGGTGTAATGCAGTGCAGAATGGTACACTGCCTTTGTGACTCCTAAAATTGTGACGCATCTTGTCCCCCAAATGTACCCTAAACCAGGCAACGAACTTGCCACCAGAAAACAATGAAATGCCCTACAGTTTAGGCAGATGCCTCCAGCAGCAAAAGAATGTACGGTTAGTTATAGCAAGTGAAGCAGCATATTGTACAGGAGCTGTGTCCACACATCCAGAGGGCCAGGAAGACAGTAGTGAAGGCAATCACTAGGCGGCATCATGTGGCCATCCCCTCGTAAACTTGTCATCGGATCAACGTCCATGAACACACCTCCTACTGCCTCTACCATCTGCCTCGCAAGCTTGTTCTGCCGGCCAAACTCCCCCCAGTGAAACGGCAATGATGCTGGGTCCTGTGGCTCTTTGAGAGGAGCAGTGATGTTCTCACAGTGCGCATGCCCAGGCGGCGTGCTCCTGTAGATGATCAGCAGCTCTGGTGCCACCTCTCGCACTCTCGTAAGCGTCCTGTTCAGCTGCTCCGTGAACTCCTCATCCTCCACATAGTGTGCTCCGCGATTCAGCACAAGCACGGCAGTGTCGCTCTCAGGAAGCACATCGTCGAACCAGGGGAAGGAGACCATGCGGGGGAAGTCGAGGCGGCGAGTGCTGTTGGTGTGCAGCACATCGTTGCGCACCGTGGCGACGGTGGTGTTGCCGTACGACACGCTGTCACACAGCATGTGCCCATGCATGTTTCGCATCACCGACTGCTGCACCTCTGCTGCACACACTGCTAGCTTCGCCTCCTCTATCTTGGCAGGCAGGGGCGGCACCAAGGACTGGGGAGCAGCGGGCAGGGGTTCACCACTGCCCCCGTTTCCTTTATCGCTACTCGTGCTGCTGTTTCTACCCATCGTGCTAGCGTTGCCTGTGTCACCTGCGTGCGTAGCCCGGGCGCCTGCAGAAGCTGCGGCAGCGCACATTCGCATGTGGTTGCGGAAGGAGAGGAACGCCAGGGAGGTCAGCGAGTCGCCCACCATGAGGATCTTCCCCCGCCCGTTCGTCAGCCCCGCTGCCAGCTGCGCGCACTCCACGTCCCGCCACGCCACCCCGCACCCCCCCTCTGCCCCGAGCGCGGGCAGGCGCCACCTGTACTTGACCGCGGGGCGCACCTGCCACTCCTCCGCCCCCCTGCCCTCCATCACCACCCTGTCTGCCGCTGCGTACGCTACGTGCTTGTACCTGCTGCTGCTGCCGCCGCCGCCGCCGTCGCTGCTACTGCTGATGCTGCTGCTGCTATTGCCATCCGCTGTCTCTCCAGCAAACGCAATGCTACGAGGAGCAGACGACGCTGTTTTAAGAGCAGGCAAGGGCGCGACCCCGTTAGATGCCACAGCAACTGCTTTCGATGCAGCCTTGGCAGCACGAGTGGAATCGACGGCCGCTGTTTCGGCTGTATCTTCCTCATCCTCTGGCAAGGCTGCTTCGTCGTCAGCGCCACCAGAGGGAGTGGTGGATGGAAACGCGTCGACGGACAGCAATCTGCGGAGCGGGGGGGATGGCGCGGAAGGCGGGGCCAGCGCTTGCGTCGAGCTCGGGAGATCGGCGGACGCGCTGGCGGCAACGGGGGGGTTTGCACCTGCGCTCGGCGCAGCAGCTTCGGGGGATGGTTGGGGGGTGTGCGCGGCGCGATTTTCCCTGAGCCACGGTTGGTCGCACTGCCAGCCGCCGTGCTGGCCTGCGACGGCCCACGGCAGCAAACGTGGCGTGCTGTCGAATTGCCACGTGCCCCTCTCGTTGACACACTCAAACCCGCGCCTAAATGCGAGATCAGCGTCGGCGGAAGTGAGGCGGGATCCGGGAATGGAGGAAGGCGCAATGTACTCCTGGTGGGCGCCGCCGCCGCCGCTGCTGCTGCTGGCCATGGCGGGGATATCGACGGCTCCTCCGCCGCTGCTTCTGCTGTTTCTGACGAGGCTCCAGATGCTGCCGGTGCCACCGGCGGGGTTGGACGTGACGGGCGCAGCGAGAAGAGTGGAAATGCTGGGATTGCGCACGACCAAAGCGCACCACGCGATTGCCATGAGACCGCTGAATAAGATGAGCACGTGGGCGAGCCGCGTGAGCACGTGCGCGACGGCCGTGAGCACGTGGTCCGATGGGTGCTTCTCGGAATAGAACCCGTTGTCCTTGCCGTGCGCCCCGGGCAGTAGATACGCCATGGGCGGAGGCGCGAGGGCGAGCGAGCGGGTTGCGGAGATAAGCGGGAGAGGAGACGAGGAGAGAGACGGTGAAAGGGGAGGCGGAACGGTAAAAGGTTGAAAGAGAGAGTGAGAGAGAGGAAACGGGGAGGAAAAATCAGCGGCGCCAGTGCAGATGGCCGAGATTTAATGGGACGCTGGGGTCGCGGGGAGGCAAGCTACGAAAGTCCATGTCTTGAACTGCGCGAGAGGACACTAAGCAGGTTCTCGCAACAAGGGAAATACTTGTGACTGATGCACCACCCTCGCCGAGGGTCTTACTGGGCGAACAAGCGGAGAGGAGCGCGGGCGAAATTCGTTTGTTGTGTGCTGTGCACCCAGCGGCAGTCTGTCGGGCGTGCAGTGCTTGGCGCTAATCTGTTACCTTTCTGTATTCAGTGGTGCCATGGTGTGCGTTGCATTGCATCCTTACGAGTGCCTACCCCAGGGTTCGATCAGCCACACACATCTGGGGGGATGTCATGCCATGCGCCTGTGCCGTGGTCGCAAGGGAGAAAGAGGTTATTATACACATAGTCACTATTAAGGGCGCGCTATCACAAATGCTCACGAGGTTATCACAAACGGTCATTGAAACGGGAAATTTATCACGGATGATCAACGTACTATCACGGATAGTCACTCTCTGCCCCGCATTTCTATCACGAATGGTCACTCGAGGAAACCCTCAAGGAAAGTTGAAACTCCCTGAGGAAAACTGTGGAGATTTTGAGGAATCTTAATTTCGATTGCTTGTTACCTCTCGCATGATTCTCGCCTGACATCTAGGACTGAAGAAAAAATAAACCCCTATAGGATGGCACACCCTTTAGGAAGCATCAACCCTAAACACCATACGAAATGTGTTCTGGGTTGATTCCTCCCGATGGAAATCCCATCCGAATGGGTTTTAGCTTTTTCTCTTGGAACAAACATAAACTTCAAGTTTCACCCGTCTTAAAGTGCTATTCTAAGGAACATTATGCATAAATCAAACAGTGGACGATCGAGCTAACTATCCAATGTTGCCAAGAAATTTCGCGAAATTTTTAACGATTTCGCGAGAGTGGTTACGAGAAGTATTTTGTAAGTCACAACGTCTCGCAACACTACAGACAAAACGGCGCCACGAGACAGAAACAGTGCTGCGACAAAAACAACAAACACAATTAACGCGCTAATAGTCCCTAAATCGCAACAGTGTGATAACGCATGGGGAAGCATTTCAACTTTCGGGCGGGCGTTTCTTTCAGTGACTATTCGTGATAGCATCGTGGGGCAACGAGTGACTATCCATGATAAATAAGTGACCATCCGTGATAGATTCGCCTGTTTCAATGACCGTTTGTGATGATCCCGTGACCATTTGTGTTTGCGCGCACCTTCAATGACCATTTGTATAATAACCCGGGAGAAAGGGAGGAGGGATGATTGGGGGAAGGTGGTTGGTGGGAAGGGGGTGTCAAGTGAAGGTCTGCTTGGTGGGCGGTGCGATGGTGGGGGGAGGGAAAATAGTGGAGAGTAGAGATAGAGAGGGAGAGAAAGAGAGGCTACGCTCGATACACACAGCTGCGCAGCTGAGGAGGAGGCAGAGGGGGCAGATGCTTCCCCCCTGATAGGGTGACGTGTGCAGCGCTACACGATGTTGTGGGGGATGGGATGGGACGGGTGAGTGGGGGAAAAAAGGGGAAAACAAAGGAGCGCACATTGCCCCCGAGGATCACTGCTAACTTACAAGTCGGCAAGCTCGGCTCGCCTGTCTCTTGCGCCAGCTTACGTGGCTCCTGCCTGTAAAGGGCGACCTTGTAAGGGGTGCTCTGATGGGAAGGCGGTTCGTTGGTTGAAGCTGCATGAACACGACAGGCTACAAATTGGTTATCATAAACAGAAGTAATAATGATCATATTCTACATAAGTGCTTATTTTGATGGGAAAATATGCCACTAGTAACGAACATGGGACTCGATAACGTGAATGGTAAAAAGGTAATGATTACGGTCACTGTATCGGGTTTCCTGACGGGTTTGGTAAGTGGGGTTACGGATTAAGTCACTAACAAAGGTAAAAAATCGCGCGAATGATTCCAGATGTAACTTCCGCCATTTTTTTTTTAAACTCTACAATATTCCCGCTCGTGCCCAACCAATCAGCTAACATCCCAATCAGAATTGGATGCGGTTTAAGAACGGGTCAGCCCTAAACATCTAACGAATTGCGTTTATGATTTATTCATCCGAAAATGCATTCATGTTCGTTTTGTCAGAGGTCCACTGTTGATCCCCGATCGATCTTAGGGAAGGGTTACAGGCTCGTTGTCCTGGGGGGTTATGGGCGCACTGACCCGCTACTTAACAAGCCTTTTTATCCCAATGGTCTAGTGGTTGGGATTCTGACATGGTATCAGCGCGAAGGTCTCGGGTTCGAGTCCCGATGTGTGCACTTCGGGCATCCCATTGCGGGGGGGTGTCAGAGGTCCACTGGTGATCCCCGATTGATCCTAGGGAAGGGTTACAGGCATGTTGGCCTGGGGGGTTATGGGCGCACTTACCCGCTACGCAAACAAGCCCTTTTATCCCAGTGGTTAGTGGCTGGGATTCTGACACGTTTTAAGTATCTTTTTTTTTTGGGCGGGAGATTCATCTGTGACCATTCGCGTTGATTGTGAATATTTCCGTGAAACTTTTTTTCAAATAGATAAAAACATTCATTGGATGTCAAATTGCATCTGTTATCTCTAGGCTGTAGTAGGGCATACTCTTCAGAGTACAATATTATAGGTCATTTCTAGTACTTCTACCGATTCTTCCCTACTAGTCAATCATTCTTACGAGCTATTTCTGACATGGTATTCAGAGCAGGTCCATCCTCCGTAGGACCGCTCCGTTAGGGCGCACATTTATTTTTTTTAAGAGTCGCCCATATTGCTTTGCCCGAACAGCGTTCATCACGCTACCCTGTCTACGCTGTCCCACGCGCTCTGCCCTGCCCGTCACGCTGCCCGCTTGCTGCCAAGCGCGCGACCCGCACGCTGTCCTGCTCGCGCTCTGTCGAAATACTAGGCAAGAATCAGAAACATGAAAGAGGTGTTTTCACTAGCAGCAGTTGAGATACATATAGGAAACCCTAATTGGGTTGTACTCGCTATAGAGTACCTCACTGTAGGCTAGACAAACATCACATTCTGACACACCCCCATAGTCAAAGCTGGGTATAATCAACATAACAAGCAGGCAGAGCAGTAGTTCACAAGTATAAGCAAAGCTAGAGGCAGTCACAGAGGGCAAGTGAGTAGGATGAGAAACTGTGAGGGCGAGAAGATGGGAGGCAACGGCTGAAGCTGCAGACACACAGGCAGCAGGAGTGCGCAGCACTGTCGCTACTAGGCTAAACCCGGACTACACGGCGACAGGCGCAGCTGGCTCACTGTGCTCCCAGGAGTGCGCACACTGTGGCTACCGGGCGCAGAGCCCCGGACTACTCAGGCCACAGGGGGTCGTAGCTCTCTGGACTACCAGGAGTGCTCACACTGTGGCTACCGGGCGCAGAGCCCCGGACTACTCAGGCTACAGGGGGTCGTGGCTCTCTGGACTTCAGGCGCTGCGGACGACAAGTCGGCTACCTCCGGTCAACCTCCCCCAACTGTCCCACACCCCTTTCACACACTCCCTGCTGCACCTCTAGCACTGCTCACACGCCACCCCCCTCGTACCATTCCGACGGCTCCAACACATCCACCCCCCTCAGCGGCAGCTGCAGCAGTGAGAGACGGAGGAGGAGGAGGAGCAGGGGACGGCTCACACACCCGGCACCCCCATACTCTCCACCCCCAAACCCTAACACAGGAGCGCGGGCAGCAGCGGGGGTGGGGCGCGGTCAGAAGCTGCGCGCGGGCCTGCGCAGCCCGTACGGGTCGCGCGCGGGCCTGGCGCAGCCCGTACGGGCCGCGCGCAGGCCTGGCGCAGGTCGCGCGGGCCGCGTCGGGCGACGGGGGGCGACGCGCGGGTCACCGGGGCAGGAAACCGCCGCGCGCTCCCGGGGCGCGCGGCGGGCAGGGCAGAAAACCGCCGCACGCCCCGAGCGCGCGACGGGAAGAAAACGGCGCGCGCCCGGGGCGCGCTACAGGCAGTAGAGCAGCGGAAGCATCGGGTGGGGCCCACCCACAGGATCGACCCAGGAGGGTCGACCTGCTCTGATAGCGTGTCGAAATACTAGGCAAGAATCAGAAACAGGAAAGAGGTGTTTTCACTAGCAGCAGTTGAAATACATATAGGAAACCTTAATTGGGTTGTACCCGCTATAGAGTATCCCACTGCAGGCTAGACAAACATCACATTCTGACACGCTCCGCCCTGCCATGCGCTCTGCCTGCGTGCCGCCTTGCCCTACAGCCCGCGCGCCGCCCTGCCCTGCAGCCCGCACGCCGTCCTGCCCTGCAGCCCGCGCGCCGCCCTGCCCTGCAGCCCGCGCGTCGCCCTGCCATGCAGCCCGCGCGTCGCCCTGCCTGCAGCCCGTGCGTCCCCTTGCCCTGCGGCCTGCGCGCCGCCTTGCCCTGCCCTAAACCGCGACTTGCCTTGCTGCTAGCCCGTGCCATGCTGCCCACGCATCCTACTGGCCTCCACAACTACTCCAACAGTTGCTTCTGCTGTTGCAGCCACAGCGACTACCGCTACTGCTACAGCTGCAGCTACATTTGTCGCTGCTGACACCCTTGCGCCGCTGCTACTGACTGCCTCTGCCTGTCATGACCAATATCACAGTCGTGGCAGCGTCTAGGGGAGGACAGCAGCAGCAGCGTCAGCCAAAGAATCTATCGCCGCAGCACCTTCGCGAATGGGTTATTCGGCGAGGCCCCTCTGGTCATGGAGCTTGGGATTTCATGCGTGCTGGAGGATTGTCGAGCGCGCTGGGAACCGAGCGACAGTATTTTTGAAGCAAGTGCAGTTAAGAGAAACAAACAATAACAGTTTTATAAGTATACATCA